GCAGGCATTCACAATCGATCTGCACACGGATCGTTCTTTTTCCTGTTTATTGACCAATAGAGAGCTGGACGTAGAAGGCTGCTGCCCACCTCATTTACATATCAACGAAGCAGAAATACAGCGAGGAAATAATACAGAAAACAATACAGAAATAAATACAGAAAATGGAAATATATATTATGCTTTTATTTCTTATCAAAATATATATTTATTCTTTTATTTATATATTTCTACTTTTATTTTTATATTGATTCTTTTATTTATTATTATGTTGGATATATATTTATTCTTTTATTTATATATTTATTCTTTTTTTATTCATGTCTGATATATATTTATTCTTTTATTTATATATTTATTCTTTTATTTATTATTATGTCAGTTTTGGTCCTCCATACTTTATTAACCAGTCAGACTTATCAACATAAAAAAAAGACTCCACAAACAAAACTGTCAGCAGATGGCGGTATCACCCTGTTAAAATAACTCAGAATAGTCCAAATAGTTTGGATGTCTCTTGCCTTTCTGTCTTCCTTTGTTCCTTTCTTACAGAGCGCTTCTGTCATGTTTCTGTTTTCGAGCAGGAATAGAAAGCTCATGTTTGACCAGTTCTGTCTCCGTCATTCTAGCACCTAAGTTTATGGTGGGTTTGTATCCTAAAGAAAAAGAAGTAAAACTGTATATATCTCACAAATGAGAAATTAACTTGCATGCTTAAAACCTTATATAGTAGGACAAAAATATTCAGTACTCGATGGTCCACATGAATTGACTAGTAAATTTATCATCATTGCTTGGAAACGGAAAACCTCTGTGAAAACAATAATATAAAAAGATCCGATGTGTCCCCTTTGGGGCTCCATATCTTTGCATTAAACAAATGGTCTTTTTTTTTTTTTCTATTTAACACCAAATAGTATTATTAAATGTTCTCATCTTTGGCTATACCTGGTTGGTGTGAAAAGACCTAAAAGACAGAAACATTTGACCATTTTAGGTTGAATGACTGTGGGTCAGTAGTGTGACTGAACTTCTTACTTCTTTTTATTGGATATAATTACTGAAAATTAAGTTCCGTAATTAGGAAATGTGTTTGTTTTTTTTTTATCTTTCCCATCTGTACCTGTGGAAATTTATTTCAAAGACTAACATTTTGAAATAAAAGCTATTGTATGAATTTGCACAAAAAATAAATAAACATTTAGTTTTTGGAATCTTAACTTTGTCATTGGTTTGTTTTCTAATTTTGTTTTTTAATGTGTTTTTTTCTGGAAGTCACAAGCCACACTGAATCACTTCTTTTAAATGGGATAAAGAAAAGACAGAAGACAAATACATAGAGCGGGGCCCATCTCTGCCACTTATCCAGCTTATCTACAGCTTAATGTTTAACTCCACACAGAGAGTAGACACTGTGCTCTGTGGAGCAATATTTACTTGTTGAAGAGCAAAGATTATGTTTTAGGAAAACAATGCCAGAGAATGTATTCTTATTGTGAGGAAATCTTCATTTGCCAAACCAGAGTGATTTTACCTTTATCACATACTCTGAACAGAATTACACTTATAATAAGTTTGTGATCAACTGGGAAGCTGTACCAGTTTTATCTGGTTAAGGTTTAAAGAAATCTGTCTTAAAGTAAAAGACCTTAGATAAAGTAGGAACAGCTGAGTTGCAGTGTGTCTGACCTTTGTTGGTGACCTCCCATGCCACTTCAAAAAGCATCAGGTCTTCCACAGGCAGCTCATCGTCCTCCCAGGCTGGAAACAGCCCACTCAGGGATGTAATGGACAGGGAACGTGACAATGGCATATTGTTATTTCTTGAAGTGCAGTAGAAACAAATGGAAAATAGCCACTCCTCTGTAGTTTTCAGAGAAAATCTTTTAGAACTGTAGGGTATGCACTTGTAGGTCCTGAACTCAGTAGGAACAGAACTGACATGAGGCAGAATGGACGAAGCAGCAGAGAGTCAGGAGGGTAAAGAGCTTCCACCCCGCCTACTGAGCATGACCTGATGCCAGCAGGAGGGACGTTTACCTCCAACACTCACATGTCAGGAAAAATGGTCTGGAGATCAAAGTGAGGAAAGAGGGCAGCAGGACTGCCTGATGAACATTATTGGACAAACAAACCCATGTGATAAACTGTGCAAATATTTTCTCCAAAATGTGGTTACAGCGTAGTGTATACAGGCATATAGAGGATTTAGTTTTGGTAGGGACAGTATGAAAGGACCATTACATGACAGCAAGAGTTACATCAATTCAAGATCATACCTTATTCATTTTAGGAACAAGATTTACTTGATATGAACACAATTCAAAACAAAAAAAGAAAGACACTTTACATTGCAGTATCAGAATAATGAGAAGCAATGACAAAGTAACAAAAAACCGTAATCCAAACCAAAATTAATCTATTTTCCAGTTAATATTCATCAAAGATTAAATCAGTTAAAATTGATTTAAATGAACTTAGTGATTTGGCTGCTGTACAGTTTTCTGGAACTTGGTTCCAGATTATAGGAGCATAAAAACTGAATGCTGCTTCTCCGTGTTTGGTTCTGACTGAAGATCCAAAGTAGACGAGAGCTAAACCAGAGAAGAATGATGCAACAATAACAGGTCTTTAATGTTTTATGATTCATAAACTAACAGTATTTTAAAGTCTGTTCTCTCAGTATAAGGACTGTAGAACTGGATAATGTGCTCTCCCTTCCTGGTTTTAGTCAGAACTCCACCAGCAGCATTCTGGATCCGATTTTTAAGGCAGATCTGAGAAGACACAGTTGCAATGCGATTAAAAATAAACACATGATTGAGTTTCTATAGATCTTGCTGAGACATTATTCCTTTAATGTTCCTCAGGTGGAAGCAGGCTGACTTTTTAAACCTGTTATTACAGATCTTGGTTTTAAGGTGGACAGTGATTTTAATGGCCAAATCAGAGCCGTGGTTAAGTCCAGCTTTCATCATTTAAGGCGACTGGCGTCAGTGAAATCTTTTCTTTCCAAGCAGCATTTTCAAACAGTGATCCACGCTTTTATTTCAACTCGACTGGATTACTGTAACTCACTTTATCTGGTAGTCAGTCAGTCGCTGCTCTCACGTCTGCAGCTGGTTCAGAATGCTGCTGCACGACTTTTGACAGGAACTCGAAAGAGGGAACACATGACCCCTGTCCTGGCCTCACTTCACTGGCTGCCTGTATATTTTAGGATTCATTTTAAAATTCTTATGTTTGTTTTTAAATCACTACATAATCTTGTCCCGGCTTACCTCTCTGAGCTTCTTCACCCCTCATACCCTATCGGTCTCCCAGGTCAGCAGATCAGCTGCTCTTGGAGGTACTGAGATCAAGAAGGAAGCTCAGAGGGGACAGGGCTTCTCTGTCATGGGCCCCAAATTATGGAACAACTTACCTTTGCAAGTCAGAGAGGCCCCTTCACTGTCCACTTTAAAGCTCGTCTTAAAACCCATCTATTTTACTTGGCTTTCAACTCCAGCAGGATCTAGTTTTAAATTGTTTGTTTTTAAACTGTAAGAGTTTTTTATTTTTATTTTATTTTATTGTTATGTTGTGTTTTAATGTACAGCACTTTGTATCAGCTGTGGTTGTTTTAAAGTGCTTTATAAATAAAGTTGGTGTGGTATGGTTCTAAGCATCTGTTCAGTGATTGGATGGGTTTGAAGTCACCTGGAATAGTAATGTAGAGCTTTGAATCATCTGTGTACTTAAACTAGTCTTATTCCTTGTTATAATATGGACAAGTGTGAGCATGCTCATATTATTTAACCAGGTTCATGAATTGAACCTTAAGGTCAGATGTGACCTCTACTTGCTCCAATGAGAAGTCACCAATTGACACAAAGAAATCCCAGTTCTTTGGGTAAGACTCAAGTTCTGTGCCAGAATCTGACCCAGCTCTCCAGTCATGGTCAACAGTGTGAAATGCTGCACTGTGGTTCTTCCACAATTTGTATGTATGTGGTGAGCATAGAAACCTGACTGAAAAATGTCAAAGCAGTCGGTCATTGTGTCGCAGTGGAAATTTGTTTTATTTTGAAAGCGTGATTTTGTAAATTTGTAAATATCTTAGACTGGAAATTATCTGCCAACTAGTTAAAGCGTTAGCTTAACCCCTTAACTGGAACCAGGAAGTGCTTTGGGTAAAAAGGTGCCTATAGCCAGCCCTGAATGGCTGCCACCAGATTCAGGATTCAACATGCATGAATGAATCAAAGCAACGTGTTTTTGATCATAGAACAAATTATAAGATGATATAAAGGGAAATAAATTCATACATTTTACTTTTTGAACTGATTTACAAAAATAACTTTTTAATTTAGAATTGTTAGAAGTGTTGAGATTCTAACAATTACACTTGACCTAGTATTCTATTAAAACATTTTGTAGCTCGTTAAAACTGGATTTTAACAGATAGAGAACTAAAGCAAACTAAAGAAAAGAATAGGACTTTGTTGTTGACATAATATATCGCCAAAATATTTGAATGTGATGTAAAACTGAATTCATTTCTCAGAAAGTGAAACTCGTATAAAATCAAGTCATACATTCCAAGCCTTTCCTTGTAATGTTAATTATTGCTTCAGATAATGAAAACCCAAAATTCAGCCTCAGAATATTATACTACTGTGACAAAGATCATCAGTGGAAACTTATACTTAACTCAAAGCATCTACACACACTTCCAAAAGCTGCTTCAGTGACCATGGTGTTCCTGTTGATTAGTCTGCCAATTCCTGTGACCTTTAACCTCAGTAAAAAAATCTATGAGGTGGTTAGGTCTGGTGGAAGGTGAGACACAGATGATGTGAAGGAAGTTATCAAAGCAGACTGGGTTTCCATTAAAACCTCAGTAGAACTGCAGGCCGGCTGTCTCTTTGCCACGGTGCTTTGATGCAAAATGCCAACCAGGCTCTGCGTTCATACAGACGTACAGTCTTATAGAAGTCTGACATTTTGTGCTTAAAATATCAATTTTTCATTGGTGTAATTCTAATTTTCTGAGACACTGAATTTGGCTTTTCTTTGCCAATAAGTCATATTAACGGAAATTCTAAAAAGTAAAAGATTTAAACATTTTACTGTATAATGAACCTCTAAAAATAGCTGGCAATGCAGAATTTAAATGAAAAAAATGTAGCATTGTCGATATGCCTCATAACATATCATAGTTCTGTGTATAACGAGCAGAAAAATGCTACATTAATGTCTTATTGAGCACATGGGCATATGAAATTATGCCCATTGTTTACATGATCATGTAAACAATGATCATGTTGACAAAATGACTTTCCTTTCTCCCAAGGAAATGTTTTAAACAATCATGGAGAAACAGTGAATGCCAGTGGAAGGGAGTCAGTCATATGCATTCAGCTGCACTGCTAAGTCTATATGCTGTATACTCACTTTGACTGTCAACTGTCAGCTGTTGCAACAGCTGTTGCCAGCAGCTCCACACAAAAGTACAAATGAATTTCATCAAACTGTACATTGTGGCTTTGCTAAAACACACACACCCTGCTGCACAGTAATGACTGCTGTAAATATGACATGTCCTGATGAAGTAAATCTAACATTTAGAATTTCCTTTTCCAAAACAAACTTCACCACTTATCTAATGGACTGACTTCCTGTCCAGGCAGAAACTGTCCGTTACTCTGGACTTCTGGACACAGGCAGCAGAAGTCCATGACCTTGTCTTAAGCAGGTCATTAATGAATGAAGGCTCAATTCAGGAATCATCTTTCCAGTTAAATGATCACTTACAGAACATAAGTTGTGGTAATTAGTTCATTGACAACATGAAGAAAACCAGAAATATTAGCTGAAAGAATTAAAGGAAAAAATGGCAAAACTCCATGTTTGTGACTTAAGACTGAATATGTGGTAGGATGTTAGTGGACAGAAAACATCCTGGCAGAAACATGTCCAGGAGAATGGTAGGACTGTGGGGTCAGTAAAGCCAAACTAGAACTACGTCCCAACAATTCATTTTTTATGACTTTTCAGTAATACTTTGGATTTCTTTTCTTCCAAGATATATTAAAGCAGAAGTTTCAGACTCTACTCCTAACACACAGAAAAAAAAGAAGTAATCCATTTGACCTTTAACAAATTGTATTAAAAATACACAGATTAACAAAAAACACCAAACAGTGGGCTGTGTGGATTACTTACAAATAAAACCAAAGTTCATTTATTTTATACTGGACACAAATGAAAAAGCAACATGGAAAATCCAGTGACATTTCTTTCTTTTCCAAGTAATCACAAAACAATATTTTTCTTTTATTTGGACACTTTTTATGACTTATCCAGTAAAACACCAGCAAATACTCAAAGTCATCATGTTTGGAGAAATGAAATCACCTCGCCTTCAGCACAAACTGTGCAACTACTTCTGGTATTTCTGTAACTATGAACTGAAAACAAATGCCTTGGTCCAGCTTCTTAAAAGCTTAATATTGAAACCAAAACTGAGCCAAGCATCTTAACATTTGGGGTTTGTGCCGATAACAAGGAATTTAAAAGAAGTTGAGGTCTTCAGAACGTGGCTGATCAGAGAGAAAGCAGGCAGCAGTCAGCCTCGACTCACAGCTCTACTGTTTTCCTCTGCAGCCAAACCTGTCCTCGGAGGACTTTAAAAAAGAAGAAAAGGGTGTATCATTATTGGTCAATGACAAACAGAGCACTCAGAATACCAACATCAGTTCCCGGTGGATGGAGATGTTTCGGATTCTGTTCCTTGATGTGGCCTGGTAAAAGACACTGCAGCAACCCGTGACGCTCATCGCCTCTTTGTTTCTCTCCTTCCTCAGCTGAGCCTCCGTCCTCAGGCTTTGATCTCAGGGGTCGAGCTGTACAGCTGCTCAGAGTTCTCTGTTCCCAGGTCCTCTAAACACAAAACGCAACACAAGCAGTTAGAAGTGCAGGAGCAGAGTTTCCCTCAGTGTATTATAAACATGGTGGGCCATCAGGCTTAGCATTGCTTTTTTTTTAATTATTATTGCATTCATTTAAAAC